TTATGAATGCACTAACCCACTGTGATAAATTTAAAATGATGTCTTTGTTTCAGTGCATTAAATATGTAGTAATCTGGAATGATTGCTTTATGAAGGCTAAGAGTACATTTAAAATATAAAATCAGTTTAGATATTCTCATTAAGAAAATGTGCAACAGAGAAGAGCTGCATCATGTATTCCATAATATTTAATGCTGTGTTCAGCAGCTCAGCTGATTTGCCCTTCTTACAAAGTTTCTGAAGCTAAATCTCTGACAAACATCAGGTATATTAAAAAAAAAAGTGACTGACATGTTTTATTCCCAAATTTAGCTCTTTTAATTAGGTACCTTCTGCACGTCCAGACATCACAATCTGGCATGCAGTGGAAAACACACTCCCTTTTCTTTAGAAAGGAATTTTAGAAGAGTGTTGGTTCATTTTTTTTTTCAAATTCATTTTCTATATTTGGGTTCAGTGCCTTGGCTGGAAGGGGTGAGCTGAGAAAGAGAGGGAAGAGAAGAGAGAGACAGTGGGGAAGGGGTGGGGCCTAGGCAGAGTGGAAGGGGAGCCTGGACAGAGCGGGGGTGGAGTATGAGGAGGGTCGCAGGCTAGGGAGCTTGCCTCCCCAAGTAGCAGCTTCACCCACTGCCCATGCCCTTCTCCTCGACACATATCTGGCTCACCCAGGCACCAGTGAGCTGAGGTGTGAGGAAGGAATATAGAGTGGGCCCTGAGTGATAGTTTGGATTTAGGGAGGCTGAGTCATTCATTAGAAAAAAACATTTCAGGAATCTCACTTAAGGATCTGTCTGTGTTTTAAAAATGGCTACCTGAAGGAGTGCAGTGGCTACAAGCCATATATTCAACTGAATAAATGGGGGACTGCAAAGGGCTGACACATAGGGTTGCCAGGTGCCCAGTATTGACCTAAAATGTCCAGTATTTTCTGGGTTTTTTCCCCGTGCCAGGAGACGAAAATACCGGACACCTGGCAACCCTACGACACTCAGCAACCGGACACCCCACACGCCCCCGCATCCCCCTGCTTACCTTGTTCCACAGGGGCTTGTCTTGTTGGCAGAACAGAAAAGCAAAATGGCCACCAGCAAAAAAAGCCTTTTCTTAAAGGGGCCATCCTGATTTTTTATTTATTTATTTATTTTTGGTTGCTTAATTGCTGTTGGGTCCCTTTTTTTTTTTCCCCGACAGCTTTGGTCTCCCCCCCCTTTTTTTTCCCTCAACAGAATTTTTTTCCTGATGGTTTTTTTTGGGGAGAAGGTGTTCAGTATTTTTAGTTAAACCATCTGGCAACCCTACTAACATAAGGACTTGACTTAAAATATTTATGTACATGAATAACGAGGAGTCCTGTGGCACCTTAGAGACTAACAGATTTATTAGGGCATAAGCGTCTGTGGATTCCAGCTGATTTGTACAAGAGGCAGACTGGTGCTGCCCTATCAATTCTCTGTAAACCATTAGCTGCAGGGAAATGTTTTAGGGGAATGAGAGACTTTTCCAGCCCCATGTACTGTGTGATCCTCTGGCTAAGAAATGTCCTGTAAATGCATTGTTCCAAACAAGATTGGTTATAGTCATCTCATTGTCCAACTAACACCCTTTTATAGCACTTTCTCTGCAATGATCTGAACAAACTTTGAAAACATTAAGGAAAGGAGCCTCCCCATGTGCCAGGCAGGTAGATAAGTATTGGTATTCCATTTTGGAGATGGGGAAATGGAAGCACTGAGTGGTTAAAGGCCTGATCTGGCAAGTTGAAAACTACCTTCAGCTCCCTTTGACTTCAGTGAGCGCTATAAGTACTCTGCTCCTTAGGCCCAGACATCAATGGGAGTTAGACACCTAAATACTTGTGAGGCTCTGGGCTGAAACAACTGAACATCATTAACATACCAGGAGGCTATGATGGTGTAGAGTTATCAAATCTACCTACAGTATTTCAAGGGCACCTATCACCTTGACATCTACAACTGATCTTGCAGCCCTTTTTAACAATGAAGATCCTGCATTCCTTACTCCAGCAAAACCACTAATTAAGTTAATCAAACTATTGTCAACGGACTAAATGGTCTTCGATTCTGCAATAAGATCTACACAGATGTGGAGCTCTGCCCACTTGGATCTCACTGCAAGAGTGAGGTCTCCAAAAGCTACAGGGGAATGCAGTCCAAGCTGATCTCTAACTTAAGCTTATTACTGTATTAGTTATGTCAATAGTAGATAGAGGGCAATATGCTTCTTCTTAATACCAGGGACACCATTTAATATTTTGGTGGGGGGGTTCAACCTGTGCATGCTGGAATGGGGGAGGAGGGGAGTGACAGCAGCAAGGGTAGACTGAGGACAAAGACTTTAGCAGTGTTACTGAGCATGCTCTGAACAAGCCAAGCACCATATTGGGGGATGGAAATCAACTCCATCTGCTCCTCCCCCATCATCTGTATCCAAGGGCTATTCTGACACTGAAAAACTCTGCTTTTTTTGGCAGACAACTTAGCAGTTCGCCGACAGGAGCACTGTATCTAATTCCTATATAAAAGAAAGAAAATTAAATAAATATTAGACCCACTCATCTCTAACACGAGCATATTCTGACATCTTGTGGCAAGTCACTTAAGGGACACTGGATAGGTTTAAAGTTTTAATGTATATTCTTATTTTGTTACTAACTCTGTGGAGAGAGAGAGAGAGAGAGAGAGAGAGAGAGACCCCATCAGGAGTCCTGGGATCTGGAAGAGGAGTTGGATCTAGTGGGTTATAGCCTGGGGCAGATACATTTCAGCTCTATATAAGAACACCAGAATGGCTATACTGGGTCAGGCCAATGGTCCTTCTTGCCTGGTATCCTGTCTCCCAACAGGGGCCAATGCCAGGTACTTCAGAAGGAATAAACAGAAGAGGCAATCATCATGATCAATCCCCTATCACCTATTTTGTTTGTTTTAAATCTGCTGCCTGTGAATGTAATTGGGTCAGCTTCTTGTGTTGTTAGCGAAGGAATGAATAACATTTCCTTATTTTATTTTTCCACTCCATTTATGATTTTCTCAACCTCTAACATATCCGCCCACCCATTAGTCATTTCTTTTCCAAGCTGAAAAGTCCCAGTCTTGTTAATCTTTTCTCATATGAAAGCTGTTCCTTACCTCGTATTCATTTCTGTTGCCCTTTCTGTACCTTTTCAGGTGGAGTGACGGGGTCTGCATACAGTAGTCAAGATGTGGGCATACAATGACTTTATGTACAGGCAACGTAGTATTTTGTCTTATTATCTATTCCTTTCCTAATGATTCTCAATATTCTGTTAGCTTTTTAGTTTTTAGACTGCCACTGCATATTGAGGAGATGTTTTCAGGGAACTATCTACAAGGATTCCAAGATCTTTCTTGGGTGGTAACAGCTATTTTAGACCCCATCATTTTTATATCTATAGTTAGGATTAAATTTTACCATGTGCATTATTTTGCACTTATCAACACTGAATTCCATCTGCCCTTGTTTTGTCCAGTCACCCCGTTTTGTGAGATCCCTTTGCAACTCTTTGTAGTCATCTTTGGATTAGTAATTGTTTACCCCTTTTCAAGAACATTTATGAGAAGTTTAACAGCAGTTGCCCAAATGCAAATCCCTGCAGCACAACACTCAGTCCTACCCTTCTTCTTCCTCCCCCCCACCCTCTTCCAAGTGGAGAACCTGGCAAAGTTTTCATGACGATCTAATGATCCTTCAATTGCTTAAATGTCCAGCCTTTTGTTATTTTAATTACCCTGCCTCCCTCTTTTTATAACAAACTCCCTGCTCCAAAAGCACAGCTGCAAGCAGCTCAAATTCTGTTGCATTTAAGAGCTGCCTCTGGAGTCAGGACTTGCATCTTTAAGCAGACCTTAAATATGAAATCTAGGGGTTCAAACTTGGGAGGGGGGATACCATCTCCCTAGCCCCACATAAATGGAACCCTTGCTTAATGTGTTTGGTCTTTATCCTGATAACTCTTGTAAATATTTCTCATCCTTCCAAGCCATTTTTAGCTGTGTGTTCTAAGCACTACTTTGTAATCACAGCCAAATGTATAGCATATTAGAAGTAAAGAATACTCTAGTAAACCAAACCACATGATCTATTCCAAGTAGGAAACAATTGCTTGTGACCTTTTACGGCTCTGTTTTGATGGCTTTTAAAAACTGCAAAACAAAAATAAAGTAGCTAGGTTTCCTCATGTTTTTTGGTAGTCAGATAACCAAATGACCCATGTTGTACCAAAGGTTACACCAAGTAAGTAATTGGTCTTAGAGGTAGCTATTTGCGGGGATATTAAGATCCATACAGATAAGATGTTTTCTGCAAATTTCTGCATGTACATGGAATTTGCTATCTTCTGAAGCTTGTACTAATGCAGAACACAAAAAGGGTGTGTGTGTGTGTGTGTGTGTGTGTGCGCGCGTGTGTGTTTCAAAACAACCTTTAGGTTTAAAATAATTTACAAGGTATTTCAGGATTATCTGGTGCGGTATATTGCATGCAGGCAGCACTGTTTATAAACAGTGATTGGTACCTCAATCTATTCTTTGGTCTGGAACTCCTTCCCCTGGAGTTCCGCTAGGCAGAAAGGGTTCTGAACAAAGGGGTAACATGTTACCCAGAGGCAACCTCTCCAACAGCTGTAATCAGCTCTAGATGGGGAACTTTCTACTACCTCATCTCTTATGTATTAACCCCTTCTTTATTACTTATCTGCATGATTATGTGAACCTGCGCTGGTACTTAAATTTATCAAGGTGTTTGTCCTGAAGTAACCATTCCAAAACCAGAAGAGGAATCTGCCTTTTTCATACCAGACAGTTCTGCAAGAAAAAATTTAAAATTTGTCAAAAGCACAAGGCAGAAGGGAGAGGGAAAAAAACGAGGGAAATAGTTACCTAAATAGACAATTGTCAGTGAAAATGAAGGCAGCCAATGGTGAAGAAGAAAAATTGTTTCTAAATTGGTGTCTTTTTCAGAGAGAAAAAAGAGAGAAATCCTGTGCCTTTTGTGTGTGAGGAACCCATCTCCATCCAAAGAATCCATCACAAAAGATTATGCATAATCAAGTCATACCTACCATTGTGTGGCATGAGATTTCAGTGAGCAAGCTCCCCTGTTTCAACAGCCAACGGGGCTAAAGAACCCAACTGAAAACTCTCCACATGCAACACTGTGATAACTGGGCTTGTCTGCATTAGTTTTGCCACTTTAATTATAGCAGTATAGTGGACACAATTCAAATAAAATGCTTAAATTGTTTGTGATTTATTCTTGTATGATAACTGAAATAAGGTATCTCAATATAACTGCATCTACTCCAGTGCTTTTACCAGTAAACTATGTTGGCAAAAATATATCAGTAAAACTTTTAAGTATAGACCAGCCCATGAGTTGGAAAGGTTCTTGTTTTTACTGTGGCCATAGTAAAACTTACTCGGGATCTGCATACCCACAGTTCATATAACTTTCCATGAAGCCATGCGTAAGGAAATAACTCATTTTCTGATATTAGCATTTGCAAGCACGCCAGCCACACCCTTCAAATATTCTTGATCTTGAGGAATGTTCCTGAGTTGTATAAAACATTCTATTCCCTGTCAGGTATTTTATTCAGCACAAACATTTAACAAGATGGTTTCTGCAATGATGGCAATTCTATCAGCACTGCTAGAAAATGTGTTGAGGCTGGAATGTACAGTAAGAAAAGGATAATACAGTTGCACAGGTGAGACATAGTGGGTGAGGTAATACCTTTAATTGAGCCAGCTTTTGTTGGTGAGGGAGACAAGCATAAAAGTTCCACAGATGGCAATACCATACCATGCCATCCTTACTATTGCTGGTTCTCCAGTTGCCCAGCTCTGAAGGCAATGTAGAAGTAAGGGTGGCAATACTGCAACCCTCTACAATAATCTTGCAACCACCTGCAACTCCTTTTGGGGCGAGGACACCCAATTTGAGAAACACTGGTCTCTCCCGTGTAATCTGTATAATATAGATAAAAGCACACAAGTCCAGTATTCATAATGGGATACGAGGTCTCATGGTCTGTGACTCATTTTTTTCTTGACCATGAATTTGATAGTCAGTGTGTATCATTGCCTGAAAATATCTGCTCAATGTCTAGTGGCAATCAAAAAATTAACAAAATACTGGGAGTTGTTAGGAAAATAATAGATAATAAAACAGAAAATATTATATTGCCTCTATATAAATCCATTGCATGTCCACATATTGAATATTGTGTGCAGATTTGATCACCCTATCTCAAAATAGATATTGGATTTGGAAAAGGTCCAAGAAGGGCAACACAAATTATTAGGAGTACTGAACACATTCCCTGTTAGGAGAGATTAAAAAGACTGGGACTTCTTAGTTTGGAGTAGAGATGATTAAGGGAGGGTATGACCGAGGTCTATAAAATCATGAATGGTGTGGAAAATTGAATAAAGTACTGTTCATATAACATAAGAACTAGAAGTCACTCAAGGAAATTAATAGGCAAAAAATTTTAAACAAACAAAAGGAAGTATTTCTTCATAGTCAACCTGTGGAACTTTGCCAGAGGATGTTGTGAAAGCCAAGAATACACCATGATTCAAAAAAGAGCTAGATAATTCATGGAAAATAGGTCCCTCAATGGCTATTAGCCAGGGAAGGCAGAGATCCAACACCATGTTCTACGTGTTACTCACCTCTGTTTGCCAGAAGCAGGGAATGGGTGACAGGATGAATCACTCAACGATTGCCTGTTATATTCATTCCCTCTGGGGCATCTGGCATTGGCCATTGTCAGAAGATGGGATAATGGGCTTTTAGTCTCACCCAGTATGGCCCTTATGATGTTCTCGCATAGAACCCAGATGTATCTGCCCCCTGCTGTAACCTACTAGACTCCGCTTTCTTCCCAGAGCTGAGATAGAGCCCATGAATTCTGACAGAGTTCTTTCTCTCTCTCTCTCTCTCTCTCATGCTCTCTGCAGAGTTAGTAACAATATATATTAAAACTCTAAACCTAACAGTGTCCCTTAAATGACTTGCAATAAGATGTCAGAATATATTATTAAAGCTGAATAGGTCTATTATTTATTTTTCTTTCTTGTATATTGGAATTAGATACAGTGCTCCTGTGAGCTAACTGCTAAATTAACCGCCAGATATCTAGTGTTTCCAAATAACTAATTATCCCCTGGAATCATTGTTAAAATTGCCCCCCAACCAAAATCTGAAATGGTGCCCCTGATCAGCTCCCCTTAGTGAATCACTTACTTAATCCCCTTACTGAATAACCCCAGAAAGGTGGAAGTTGTGGTAGAGCTGGCTGTTATGTGACACCCATGGAGAAGCAGGGAACAGAAAAAAGCAACTTTTCATACGAAGAGAAAAAAAGGCTGTAGAGTTATGAAGCAGTTACTGTAAGACTTCTGCTACCAGAATAACATTTCTAAGCAAGTGAAAATGGTTTTGATACTAGCAACAAACAACAAGTAGTAGCAGCTCTTCTCAAACAGGCTGGCAAGTTCATTTAACTATACTATATAGTAAAGTGAAAACACAAATTATATAGGCTTGTCCTGTCATGCCAGCAGTTTACTCACACAGCAGCAGTGACTGCAATTGGGTGGAGTGAAGAAATGATTACCACAGCAACAGCACACAACCTATAAAGCCTTTCCAGTCTGACTCAGGATTTGTAAATTTCTAAAGAATTTTTCTCTTATTTTACAATCCCAACCTGTCCATAGCTGCCAGACTCTTCAGTTTGTTCATGGATTGTGGTGGATGCAAAAGCCATACATTATTTTGGAAGAAGGCATTCTTCCAGTAGTAATTTTCCAGACCCAAGAGGAGTAAATCTGGAATGTGTATTCTTGTATGGCTGTGGAAATTATGAAATTGTCCCAATTTAAATTTTATTGAAAATAGAAGAGGGACTTCCTCTTTGAATTTACAGTGAAACATACAGCTTCTGAAAAGTGTTAAATAAATGTTTGCTTGTCAAAAGAAAAAGCTCCCTTTTGGTGAAGGAAGGTACAACAAAATGAAAATTTTCTGTCACCTGAGCTGTGAAAACAGCTCTCCATAGAAATACTCGTTAAACATTAAAAGGTATTCTTTGCCTGAAACATTAGTGTAGTATTTCCTTGGGGAATGTCTACACAACAAGCCGGTTATTTCAAAATAGTTTTGAAATAACGGTCAGCTTATTCTGGATTCTGCAAGCCTCATTCTACGAGGAATAACACCTATTCCGAAATACATGTATCTAGACAGGGCAGCTGGAGTTATTTTGAAATAAGGGGCCTCCAGGAAATCCCACAGCAGTCAGCCAGCTCCCAGGACCCTGCCAGGCAATGCAAGAAGCACATACCTTCCTGGTCTGGTGCAGAGATCCCAGCCCTCATTGAGGTCTTGGGTAAGGATGCAAACCTCCAGGATTTCCGCACCAGACACAGGAATCCCGACGTCTACAGCTGCATGGCCAAGAGCCTGGGCACAAAGGGCCACATCCGCACCCAGGAACAAGTGTGGATGAAGGTTAAGAAGTTCCGCCAGGCCCTATGCCGGTCAAAAAGTGCAGCTCCCACTCTGGGGCCGAACCTCACACCTGCCCCTACTCCTCAGACCTGCACCGCATCCTAGGGGGCGGGTCAGTCCCTTCCCTCCCAGTAGTGGACTCAGGGCTAGAGGCGCCTATCGTCACCTTCCTGGGGAGAGAAACACAGCAGAGAAGGAGGAAAAGGAGGAGGAGGAGCCAGACGAGGCCAGCACCATCGCTACGCTGACCCTGGAGCTGGTGCCTCATGCCCTGGGTGTCTCCCAGGCATCTTCCAAGGCCAGGGAAGGCCCCTCAGGTGAATGGTATTACTTTCCCATTACACACAGGGTGAAGGTGGTGGATGGTGAGGGGCTGGGGCATGCTCCTCACTCAGCCTGCTTGGCCTGGGGATCATGCAGCAGCCTGTGCATGTGGAGTGCCAGTCCGGGGCACAGCGCCCCAGGAGGCTGCACCAGAGGACTCTTGTGCTATTGCTCACACAGTATGGGGAGCCTGCCATACTCATGACATGGGAGTGGGACATGCTCCCACCACAAGCCACCACTAGAAGGAGGCTGGGGATATGGAGACACATGCATGCACACACACGAGTGCCGCACACAGGCATGCTTGGGGCAGCACCTACTCCCAGGGACAGCGTAGCAAGGTACAGGGGCATGTGACACTCACACACGTCCCCCCAACACCCTGCCCCCCTCTCCTCCAGCGGGTAGGGATACAAGTTCTCTCCCTACAGGACACTGCCATTGCCAAACCCAATGTGTGCATGGCACAGAGGAAAACCCAGCTGCCCTATGGCCCCCCTCCCACCTGCAGGATCCTGGTTTGGCTGGCACCTCTCCATGCCTGCTTGTCCCTGGGATGTGTGAGTATTGAGGCTCCCCCAGGGGACAGCTGTGTCCCTGCAGAAAAAGGCGCACGGTGTAGGCCACAGATGGCCTTGAGACAAGCACATCGTCTTCGTCTGAGCTGAGAACTGTCAGTCTCAGCTCACAGAGAAGGGCAAGGCTTCAGCCACTGTGTCTCCAGAGATGAGTGACCATACCTCTGTTCTCCACAGTTGAACCAGCTGCAAGAGGGGCTCAGTCAACACCACCTGGGGCAGCCTCCCAACCCTAAGTGACCTGCCAGTGCAGGAGAACCCAGGAAGAATTCCAGTGGGAGCACATCTCCACACTGTGAGCCCTGCAGCACACCCTGGACAGGAGTCTGGAGGAGGACAACCAGCTGCAGCTAGAGACCTGGTGGGAGATGCTGGAGCAGGGCCGCACCATCTGCGTGGCTGTACTCTCCTTCCCCAGCTTCTGCTTCTCCTCCGAGAGCCTCCTCCCACCTGTGGCCACCAACGTCCCTACACCTTAGGCGATGGGACCACCAGAGCCCAGTGCCACTCCCAAACTCAGCCCTGAGCCTCTCCCCCTCTAGTCCCTCCCCAGTTACTTCTACCCAAATAAAAAAACCAAAGAGTTTATTTTTTCCAAAACAAAAAGTGTGTTTTATTGACTCTGCAAGGGAGGGAGGGAAAGGAGGGGTTGTTGGAGGAAAGGCAGTGAGGGAGGGTGCACAGGCCACTAGTGGGGAGGTCCAGGGGAGAGTGTCACTGGGGTCCTTGTGAGAAACTTTCCCTCAGGGCCACCTGGATTCACACAGCCATCTGATGGGCCTGTCAGATGGCACCCATGCACAGTTGCTCAAACGCCCTGCTGAGCTGGCCAGCCTCTGCCCCTCTCCTCTCCCCGCCAGAAATGTCTCTCTCCTCCTTTCCCAAATATTGTGAAGGATATAGCACACAGCCACCACTTGGGG